CACACACACACACACACACACACACACACACACACACACACACACACCATGCGTTTTAAAAGTCTGACTCTGATGAACGAGTCAGGATCTGTAACGGGGACTGATTTTAGGTTGGATTAAAAAGTTTAAGTAAAACAAAAAGGAGAGATTTTCTCCACTGAAGTGATCCGTGGCAGTGAGAAGCAGTCCAATACAATATATTTTTTAATTCCTGGCTTCTTAAGGACTTCAAGAGATATAATATAAAGGTCACAAAAAATACTCAGTTACTCTTCTCACATCAGCACATTTCTGATTAAACTGATAAAACGACGGCGAGCAACCCGGCCAGAACATAACCGACGCCCGGTCTCCTTCCTTTCATGCGAGACGACTTCTCGGCATAAAAAAAAGATGTTGTGTTGAACTCAAGAGTTCAGCCCAAAATAGGTGATCACTACTAAATAAATGCATGACCTCCACCGATGAATACCGCTCCACTATTGTCTCTCGTAGAACATTTCCCTCAACATTCAGGTCCGTGCAGTTGTCATAGAAATGAGATGAGTCACCCCATCAAGAGGAGACTGATGATCAGCTGATAGCAAAGCGTGTGTGTGTGTGTGTGTGTGTGTGGGCTGATCGACGCACCCTTTAGATAACAGCCGCCATGCATTTCCCGGCAGCCACCTCTACAGGCAAACAGCAGGCGTGTGTGGTCCAAGACAGCCACATTTAGCGTTGCACTCCTATAGGATTCTCAAACTCATGATGGATTTTAAATACTTTTCCAGTGGTTCACTGGTTTAGATCTTTTTATAATGCATACATTAAATCTGATTAAAACAGCATGGACCTAATGGAACAGAAATGATTCACTATGATATCATGTAGCTTGGGCACACGTTTTATTACAGAAGGATTTTTTTGTTCTTGTTTTTTCAGACAATGCTGAGTGTAAAGGTCAAGGTGAACAGAGGGAAAATAATCTGAGCAAAAAAAACCTCAAAAACAAAACTCTTCAGACCCAACCACTGCCTGTGCCGCACAAATAAGGTTCTTTCTGCATACTTACTGCGGTAGGCTGTGTATCTGCTCGTAAACACTGATGACTTCTTCAATGCTGCGCTCCACTTTTTTCTAGTGAAAAAGAAAAGGGCAGGAGAGAGGAGCGCGTTAACACCAACAGTCATTACCAAGGTCGTTTGTGAGCTCAAGAATACCAACAACCAAACAGTGAGCCGGAATTTGATTTAGCCTTTTCCTTATCATGCGGGTGCAGATGTTTCTATGTTGCCAAGAGGTGAACCAGTCCTAAGAGGGGCCACTGGATCTAGCCTTGGGCCAGGCTTTGTCTCTGTGGTTGTGGTTGGCATTGGAGAGTTGTGGGGAGAACCAAGGACTGTATCCGTTTTAAATAAAGGTCATGTCTGCCAGCAACACCATTAAAAATTGTGAAAACCTATGAGTATTTTTGGAAAAATGGTCTAGTGGGTTTGTCTATGAGCTGAAAAAGATTAAGTTTCAGGCACTGTGCTTTTAATTTGTTAGAGCTATCAGAGATCCGGTCCAGGTTAAGATCCCCATCATCAATGACACAGAGGAGGCATTCAGTGTCGAGAGCTTTGCAATGTTGCACATGCATATCCCAACTAAGACTTATGTCCAACACAACATGTGCATATTTCATTGAGCTCTGAGCAAAAGATGATTTCGTGGACAGTGAGGCAGTCTTGGGATCTTAAGGCGAAGGCCATGTTTCAGTCAAAAGGAGGACATCTGGGGATGTTTCATATAACAAAACTTGGTCATAGTCAATATTTGGGAGTAGGCCTCTGATATTTAAATATAACAGACCGAGCCCCCTGATGCGGTTCAGTCATGAGGTGTTTCAAGTGCAATACGCTCAGAGGTAGCAAAGGGCAGAGAGTGGGCACGGTAGACACAGGAAGTTAAATTTGATTTTTGAAAGAGAACACACTTAGGTCGACTTCTATGCATAACTAAAGACTTATGAATAAAGGGAATGGTGTGTACAATTGACCGAGTGTAGTTGGGACTGGCTGTGGTGGGAGAATTTGAAGAGTTGGACCTCATGAACAACGGAACACAAGCGCGGGGAACCAATTAGGCCGACGCTAGAATCCCGGGGGAACGTAAACAGAAGCGGGACTGGCCAGAGCGAGCGGGACATGTCGTAGGAGTGATTTAGCGACCTGTTAGCGGAGCACGTGGGTGGGTGCCAGAGAACAAGATGTTGGCTTCAAGTAGTTGTGCTTCCAAACTATTTGGATGTATGCCATTGCCTCTAAATAACTGTGTTCCCAGAAGAGTTATTTAGACACTGTGGGTGTGGGGCAGGTTCATTAGAGACAGGTGTGCAGAGACAGCTTCCTGCTGAAACACAGGGCACTGGGTCCGACTATGTAGACGTGTGCCACAAAGTCACATTTCATGCTGGCGGCATTGATGAAAACATTATAACTGCAGAGTCATTTGTTGCAGGCCTGATACCAAAAAACACAAACAAAGAGTAAGATCCACGTACTGGATAACGGACAAACAGGCAAGAGGGTGACATAAATCTATTAAAAGTTAAACATCATTTTATAAGAGTAGTTGAAAAACATAAATAAGTCATATTCCGATTACAATAAATCTGTGTATTGTCACTATACTTTCTTGGGTCTCTTAATTAAGTGGGCCGTGATTTGAATTCAACCACACACTAACTCAAGACCATAACATATCTAATTGACTTGGAGCTTCTCCTCTGAGTCTCGTTAATGTACATGGACCGTCGTCTCAGGCTTAGCCAACAGCTAATTTAATTAATACCTAATCTCATTAAGGTAACATTACAATGCTAGCTAACTAAAAGTTCTAGTTTGCTAACTAGCTAGCTAACGGGACGCTAACCGGTATCGATCACTCTTCTCATCTATGGGCTGATTCGCTGCAATAGGAACTTAAGTGTGTGAGAGTTGAATTTGCTGTCACTTTTCCAGACGCGCCTCCATCCAGACTGGCCAGCAAGCAGTGTTAGCATTAGCCACATTACCTAACGCAGCTAATCTGTGCCTGCGCTCACCTGCTCCACTGAAGTCACCGTTTCCACCTCGTCATCCACAAACTTTTCTGCGGAATGACACTCATTGAAGCACCGCAAAGGCGTTGGAAACCCGTCCATTGTGATCGTGGGACCCGTTAACTGCAAGGGGTGCGGGACGTGTAGCGATGCCGCTAGTTTTGTAGTTCGCTCAGTTTGACTCTGCTCACTTCCTGCTGGGGTTGGAGTGGGCGGAAACTGCGCGCACACCCGCTACGGCGTCTCCAAGGGATCAAACGTCTCTCATTCCCTGATACCGACTGATACACACAGCCTCGTGTAAACGTGTTCCACGTGAGGGTTATAATAAAATATGGGTTAACGAGTAAGTTATGTGTACACGTTGTATTTAATCGGTGTTATGTCACCGACGTCGAAAGAAGCCAGCCCACCGCGCGCTTTATTTCTACCGTTAATCTGTTCTGCATCAACAATACAATACCGGAAGTGGTTTGACTTTGCCTTCAAAAACAAAAATATTAAAAAGTCTTTGGAGCTAATTTCCTGCCAAAAATTTGCAAACAAACAAAATGTGTTTTAATAAATGCCCTGCGATTCACCAACAAACAGTGTGGTTGGTAAATAAGCATTAACAAGCCAAAGCATTTTGTTTTGCAAATATAAAACATACTTATCAAACATAATTCTAATGCATCAGAAACAAATATGTCCTGTAGGTATAAAAAATAGATATCTTTCAAAAACAAAACATATTACATAACGTTTGGCACGATAATCATCACAGTTTGCACACTGAGTTGATGTTTGAGATGTGGTTTGATTTAAAGGAAGCACACACACAACTACGTGCAGGGTGCAGGAGGGTTTGGCTGCCAGCCGAGATAAAGCTACAACACTATCTGATGTTGGAGAGAACGTGTACTGAATAGTAATACAACTTTGCACTGGTTGTAATGGCCTCTGAGGCATGTTTTACACTTTGAGTCTGCAACAACAGTAGCCTACCAACTCTCGAGGTCTCATCTTGTAGAGGGGCTCTGAGTTAAATTCTAAATGTAAGGCTTTTACTATGCTACTACACACTGTGCTTCCATTGTGTAATTTAATAAATAAATTGATCACTAGCCGTTTGATCAGTTGGATGCAAAATACTGCTGCAATTAAACATTCTGTCAAAAGCGGATGATATGTACAATAAGCAGATGTAACATCAATATGCTGTGAGCTTTATAAACTAGAATACGAGAAATGGGACATAGTCAAGATAAGATAAAATAAGATAATCCTTTATTAGTCCTGCAGCGGGGACATTTACAGGATTACAGCAGCATAGTGGATAGTGCAAACAAGAGACATAGTAAAAACAAGATCAAAACAAGTATTATAAATCAGTAATAAACAGTAAAGAATATTAACTAAGTAAGTTATCATATGAATGAATAAAGTACCACTTAGATACTGGTAGACATGTAAATTACCAAATGTAGGCATATACATTCAATTCACAGATGCAATGAACATATTGCCAGCTCATTGCCACACTCGGCGCGCCACATTATGTAAATAAAAAATATGTGAATATGTGCATGCCCTTCTCCCACTATTAAAACCTCTGAATACGGTAAAACGTTTACATGTTTAATATTATCATGATAACCATGAAGTTATATCTTTATAAGGATATCTTGGGGGGGGGGGGGGGGGGGGGG